TTGCATGTCAATACTTCTCAGCCAATGTTGCTAAAATGTCTTTAAAAACAATGTTTTAATTCTGGATACAAACTATAGGAAACTTCACTCCCACAGCCACATGTTTAGGAGTAAACAGTAGTCACACCACAGTGTACCTGCCTTTCCTACTTTGTATCTATACAAGGTGGGTATTAAAGTTTCTTTTATAAGGATTTCTTGTTAATGGATAACAGTATTGTTACAATACTCATTGTTTTATGATACCCTATGAATTTATTGTTCTGGCTTTGTGTTCATTCATTTACCTTTTCATGTTTTTTAGCCTTGGTGAGTTTAAAGCTTTTCTTATTTTATGAAATTTTCCTTTGATATCGTTTTTGCACCTGTTCTTGAGTTGGCATTGTATAGGCTACTCATCTGATTTTTCTTCCTAATGTGTTTTCTTAATTCACTCTCAGCTTATTTTCTACATTTATATCACTTTTATTTTGTCTGGGATTGTCTTTTTCTTAGTTAGACAGCATAATATTCACTTTAGATTGTTGCCACATGTTAATGAAATCTTTTGTTACTTTTTTAACAAAACAGCTTTTTTTGAAGTGTCACCTTGCAATTATCCCCTGTTTTTGAATGTTGTGATGTACTGTGACAAGTTAACGGTGAGCAGAAAAAGGCTATGGAGCTCATCCTTGTTGCATTGCTTTTTGTCAATAATTGCCTCTGAATCTGTTTAAACATCAACTTAAAAAGCTTAAAGGACAACTACCACGCACATTTTACTTTTTACAAGCTGTTGTATTCCCATCTGAAACTTTACAGCTTCTATGAACAGTTTAAGCCCTGAAAATACATATTTTCTTTTTGGCAACAGAGACTTCAAAAGCAGAAGACCACTCCCCCTTTCCAGGCAAGCCCAGCCCACCATTGATGTTGCAACCCAGGCAAAGAAGGACTATAACAAACAATAAGAAATATAACACATCAAAAATGTTGAATCTTGCCTTTATAAAAACATTACTCTTATATAAAAAACAACACTGTTAAGATAGACCTATCATTAATGTTAAAAAAGAAGTGTAATAGGTTTAAGAGATATATCAAAAATATAATATATATATATATATATATATATATATATATATATATATAGGAAATAATGAGAAGGCAACAGTAACCTTAGGAGCTCATCAGAAGTTTAAAATATTGGCTCAAAACTTTATTCGTGTGAGGGACTGGTTTTATCTAAGGGGTGTTTAGCAGGCTAAGGAGAGATAGCGTGTGTAAAATAATCAGGAAGCACCATAAAAACATCAAAGTGCAAAAATGAATGAATCCAATTTAAGCCCAGTCTGCTCCTTACATGACATATGCTTGACTGCACAAGTATTTGCCTCCACTGATTTATTCTGTTTTGTTTGTTTTTGTTTTGATTTGTTGTTTCTTTTTGTCGTAATTCAAAGCACAGAGATCTAAAATACAGGCAGCATTATCTAAGTACAAGGCAGAAAGTAAAAAAAAACAAAAGCAAAAGAAATCGTATAGAGCAAATGAAAAGCACTGGTTATTCCTCCTATGTTCCTTGTTACTTTTGTTTGGATTTTAGCCCATTTTAGTTACATTTACTTCTGAGACAAAAGCTGAATATTAAAAAGTGAAAATTTCTTTCCTGAAACGAATTTGCTTGTGTGTGCAAAAATCGCTTCCCAGGTCCCAGGCGGTTCCCTAATAGAGCTGCCTTTGTCTCTGTGGAAAGATAGGAGCCACATTGGGGAAGAGAGGGGAGAAAAAAACATATTTAGCACTTTATCCTTTACAGGATACAGTTTAAGATATCAAAAAACATTCTGCACAAGAAAAGCACATGTAAACACAAAACAGACATTTCACTAGAGTGGTCACATCGGTGGCTTAGTCACACGAAGTTAATCTGACATATTGAGACATAAGTTGTGTGTATATGATGAGTATGTTCAATTTGTCCATGAATACTGACCACAGGCAATGTCCTTGATAAGATGGAGGTTTATCAACAGTCACTGAGCACATTCACAGATGTTTTCACGGGTAAGGAACGGTGGAGCAGTCTTCTGTGCCCGTTCGCCATAACATCCAGGGGAGATTAGATAAAGGGGGTAGGTCAAATCCAGAATTACACTTTTGTTTGGAGAGTAGGCTGCACAGGAATTTCCTTCAGCCTTGCGTCTTTTTCTTGCTCTCTCTTTGTGGCGAAATCCAATATTCCAAATGTGTTGGGCTTGTCCTTCTTGAAGCGAGCGTGCACATCCAAGATGTTATCCCATCTCACCTTTGAGTTCAACCACCGTAGCCAGCCTGCGTTCAATTGCACCCAGTATATGGCTCAGCTACCAATCTTGCTCATTCACAGCCTTTGTGAGGGCGTCAACCGCTGTCGGCAGCCTGATCAATGCCCAAATTGCCGCTGACATCCTCTGTAATTGAAGATATATTAGGTATCCTCCAAATCCAAACAGGATAAATCCGTTTATCATAAAACCAAAAATCCATACATCTTCGATATCCTCCGATGACAACGTTGTGAAACACGCCATCCTCCACACTTTCCAGGAGTCCATGGTGTATCACACGAAGTAAGTCCCGGCAGGACAGGACTGGTCCCCCTTTCCCTGTCTTCCAGTTGAATACATTTGATCAATTGCATTGAGAGACCAGCTGCACAGATAATTTTTTTTTTTTTTTTGAGTTCCTTTGTTATGCAGAGAGAGCTCAGAAAAGACAAGACACAGCAAAACAGGGACAGGCAGGCCCTTTTTCAACAACCTTGTACCCCCAAAATGATGATCTGTCTGTATGGATGTAAGGGTGGGCTTGTATGAATGTTACTGGATGAATGTGAAATTGTCTTTGTCTACTTGCTAGCTTTGGTGTTTGCCTTGCCTACCCTAGCTACAGAACATCCTAGTCCCCAAGCATAAGCAGGGCCTGCCTCCTCCCCTGTCTTATTCCATCCGCCAGTGACAGGTGCATGTGTCTGCTGGGATACTGATGGTTTTCAAGGTGCAGTGTTGGGACCTCAGACCTCTTGGCTCTTATGCGGGCCCACCTTAAGCTTGACTGGCCTCGCTGCCACAGCTACATGGGACCTCGACACTATGTACTCTGAGATCACGCCCCTCAGGGCCTGGGCACTTTTTGGGTTTGGCTCCTTCGGGTGCTCTTTTCTAATCCTCACTGTTGAAGAGGAGAAGCTGGTGCAGCCACTCCTGCATTTGCTCTCCTTGTGTCCCAGTGATCTGGGTTGCCTTTTGATATCTGGGGCTCACGTCACCCCTTTGTCATATCGTGACACCCACAAATGCTATTTATTTTTCTTCTGAAATAAATTTTGTAAGTATGTATGCCCACGCATATATATCATGGTAATTTGGTTCCTCTTGTTTACAGATACTACATCTAAATATTAAACTGCAACTAGGGATAAATACCACCCTGAATAATATTGTGTAATCACCATAGGTTTTGCCTTTTCACACATGGATATCGAAGGTATACCTGGTTCTCTTGAAGCTTGTTTTGATGTTTACTTTGTATGTCTGTTGTCTTCTTTTTCCTACTGCTATTTTTTGTCTTCTGTTCCTCTCATCTCATACAGGTGTGGAACAAACTTCTAGTAGATACAATAAATCATGTGTTTTGTTTTATTTTTACTCTTTTCATGCACTTTTTACTGTCTTTATCTTTTTCTCTCTCCCCTTAGTTTTTATCTCCTCTTTCATTCTCACATCGCTTTCCGTCTCCATGTCCATTGCATACAATTTACTCACTAAATATTTATTTATATAAGGTCTGTTTGACTTTAGACTTAAACTTAAATAACCTTTATTGTTTTTTTATTTTTATTTTGTGCCGCTCTCATGACATTTCAATTTATTAAAGTGTGAGGAAGTCTAGAAGCCAAATACAAAGGGGTGTATTGAAGCCCAACTGTTCCAGTTTGTCTATCAGATGCTGTGGGATGATGGTGTTGAAAGCTGAAGTGAAGTCCAGGAACAGCATCTGCAGATGGCCGTTCTTCTCCTCTATGTGTGCTAGGTTTAGGTGAAGAGCAGGGGAGATACAGTCCTCAGTGCAGTGGTTCCGTCGGTAGGCAAACTGGAATGGGCAGAATGTTGGGGGGAGACTGGAGATGATGTGTTCTTTAAACAGCAATTTAAAGCACTTCATCGTGATGGGAGTCTGCGCAGTTGAGTGAGGTGACCTGAGGCTTCTTTGGGACCAAATCTGTAAGTTGGTTCCACAGAGGAGCCTGACAACTAAAAGATCTGCCTCCCATTCTGCTTTTAGAAATTCTAGGAACCACTAGTAAACCTGCAGATTGGGGTCGAAGTGCTCTATTAGTAACATAGGAAATGATTGGACATCTGATATAATATGGAAATTGGATATTTAAGAAGTGAGAAGTGGGATTTTATTCTATTCTAAATTAAGGAGGAAGCCAATGAAATGGATGCTCTAGGAACTTATTTTAATGTAATAATATCAATATAAAAAAAAAATATCTATTTTCTGGACATGTATTTGCCACAGTGGAGTAATATATTCAACATTTGTCTTCTTATCTTACTTTTTAATTCTCTTGATTTGGGCAAGTGAACATACCAGGCTATATAGCTAAGAGTGTTGATTACCAAGAAGTGGCAGTGTGGTCATAATGGTTTAAAGATTAAGTTGAGTCACATCTTATATAACTCCACAAAAAGTTTACTCTTCTGTTTGAGAGATTATAGGCTAATGATATGCCCTTATTAAAACAGTTATAAAGGCCAAACAGAGTTCAAACTGGTGCAGGTGGAAGCTACATGATAGATAGCAGTGTGCTGATAAGAATATTTTTTTGATTCAGAAATTTTGTACACTGCAAATTGTTATCTGACACTCTGTGACCTTGGGGTTCACATGCTTAGACTGTAAAACACATGCATATACACACCCACCCATGACTTGCATTGCGAGCAGAGGAGGAGGTGATACCCTCTGACCACAATAATCCAGTGGTTTATAAAAGAGCTATTTGTCTTGAACTAGTCATCACTGTTTCTTGGACACAACAGAGAGCCAAGGTAGGATTACAGAGTGTTACATTCCTCAAGGGGTTACAGTTTCTATAATCTAGAGCAAACAAATTCAGCAATGCTGTACCTTGTTTTGATATGTAGCATGATTGCACATTTAAAACAATTGGAATGCTGCAAGGATTGAATGGAATAGAAATTAAAATACATATCATAAAATTAGATTTATTTGTCCTACAGATAAGCTTTTGCCTTTTAATTTTTTGTCCACTCTGCAATAAACAGTAGTCTAGGTCAACATCTGTATTAATGTATTTTTGTTAATATTTTAATTCCTAATAACAACACCTTATAAACTTCCATTGGAATGAATTTGTTAAAAGTTTCATTTTTTTGAGAGTCTGTGTATTCATTAGTGAGTCTGTGTAGGAGATAGTAAGATGATCTACTGTGTTGAAGTTATTTTTAGATTAGTGGAAGCTAAACAAGGACTAGCAAGTTTGCTTGCTTGCCTTCTGTTAATTTGTTTGATAATCTTTTTTTTTTTTGGAGCTATTTTCTATCTTGCATGTTAGTCAGATTTTTGTGTGTGTGTTTTATGTGAAATTGATAGCACCAGGCACATCCATGCACCAGGGATATCCACTCACTTGGGTGTTTGACTTTTTCCATCCACATTCTTAAACAAAATGAGAGCTTTCCTTATTGATATCCTTAAAGAGAGAGAAAACACACAAACATACAAAAACATTTATGTCAGGCCAAACTAACCTTTGAAAAACTTTATAGATTAATTCCTACAAGTACGCCACATTTCTCTTATAGATTTCTTTGTGTACACAATACTTGATAACATAATGAAATGAAGATGCTAAGAAAAACTAAGCATTAGTGATGTTTTCTATTATCATCATATTTCTGTGTTTTTTACTTTTTTTTTTTTGGTGTTAAGATGGGGAAAGTGGTGACAGTGATCCTTGGGATCGTGGCTGTCGTTATGACCGTACTGGCCATCACTTTTATTGCTCTTTTTGCAACAAAGGGAAATGGTGAAAGCATAGATGGTAAGTAAATTAATCTCTAAAACTAATATAAATGCTAAGGGAATATCAAAGGGAGTAGTTATGTTTAGAAGGTTTTATTTTTTTTTAACTCATTGAGAAAAAAAACATGACATTTCTAAAGCTTGGAATTAAAAGGTGATTTTAGTAAATATAGATAACGACAAGCTGCATCATCTTAAGTATGTTGCACCCTTTTAACATGATAAATGAAATGTATTCCACTAAACTTGTGGCAAATTATGTAAATTGAGGCAATTCTTTACAAAGGGGTTATAAGGTTTTTTTTATGCAAATTGCTTTACCTCTGGTGAAACCCTTCTCATTTTCTGAAATGGTGAGAGAATGACTATATTGTGTTTCAAATGATTGAAAACCAGAGAGTACAAAACTGAAAGAATTTTTTGAGTAACAAAAAGCAATTTTAATTTATCTGGTTTTTTGGGTGTACTTGTTGTTTTTTTTTAGAAACATTAGATGGATTTGTTCCTCAGTGTCCCAACATTCCTAATGCTGAAAGAGTGGACTGTTACCCTGATGCTGGAGCCTCAAAGGTAGAAATAAATAATCTGTCATCCGTGGAAATGATACTTATTCTGTTCATCTTTTCAGTTCTTAGTCTTACAATTGCAAAGAATAATAAATAATACAAGTATTATATCTATTACATTTTGCCAGCTATAAGCAAATAACTGAGCTCTAATAGTATGATTGGTTATATTGACTAATGATGAAATGAGGGGTATGGTTAAAGGTATTACATTTCCATTATCTTATATTAACAGTCAGGATGTGAGCAGCGCGGCTGTTGCTGGAGTCCTCTGGATCAGCGAAGTGTTCCCTGGTGTTTCTTTCCAACCAACCATGGATATAAAGTGGAATCAGTACACAACTCTGACTATGGTAAAAGCCATACTTCCCACCTAACAGCTTTATCTTCAACCTTTCATGTTTACTAACCATTACCGGTGTTAGCTGTATTTTTCATTATCCTAATGACACGGAGAGGTAATCTATTCTCTCATTGCATCTGCAATTTAGTTTATTTTTGCCAATTTTGAACTAGGTATGATTTTTTAGTGAAACTGCAATGAATTACATTAGAGTATATGATTGACTTAAGTAAATGTAAGTTTTTTTTGTTTGTTTTTTTATTTGTGTGTCATTTCTCTGCCCAAAATGTGCCGAATCATTGTGTTTATAAAAAAAATCAAATTATATTTGCACTAATTTAGTTTGTAAGCTACGAAATAAGAGCACATTTGAAAGAAGAAACAGTAGATACAATACAAATGTGAAACAAGAATGGGTACACTGAAAAAAACAACGTGTTTTTTTGTTTTGACCAAAACAAACACAATCAAGCCTCTGCATTTTTTCAATTAATTTTGTGGCTAGTTCAAGCTATCCAAGTGTTTACATGCAAAAGGATGGTAGATGCAGGACAGTAACTTAAAAAAACAAAACCTTGCCAAATGAAAAGCAAAAGAAAAAAACAGGATCTATAATAGTGGGAATTAGACCTACAGTATAGTGTGTTAGGAATGCTATATATACACAATTATCTATTGCTGAGAAGTGCAAAAATGTGAGATAGCTAGAAACAACAACTGCGTACAAGATATACCTATGAGTCACAATTATATGATCACTGAGGCCAAAAGAAGGAACTGTTATCTTATTTTAGTACCGTAAACTGTAGTTTTTACACCCTTAATTCGTTTGAACTTTCCCAGATACTTGAAATACTGTAGCAGATCCACATAACCACAATTTAAGAATCACCTGACATAAGAAATACATTTTAACACTATAAAAAGTTATAGAAAATGGCGCAGTATCAGTCTGATGCTCTCACCGATAGATCCAATGCTTACAGAGTCCAAAGTGGAAGAACCCAGATTATTTGAAAGCTCCTGCTTTTAAAGTAACTGGACTAACTTCATTTGAGTACCTCCTTGGTAAAGAAAACTTTCTGTTTGCAACAAAGGGTCTCATCTGTTAACAACAGATATTCACTATGCCTACCTATTTTTCTACGTATGCTTTGTGGGCACTCAAAGGAACAATGTGTTCGAACCCTTCATCATTCAAAATTTCCATTTTTGAAAGAAGCTACAAGACCTCATATCAGCAAAATAGTCCACTGGGTGTTTATCTTAATCGGTATTACAAGCCGAACCTTGAATAAAATAAAAAGTCTAACAGTACATTGTCTTCCAAAGGACCACAAACTTACTTTGATTACTATGGACTGTCCATACTCACTTCTTACTTAAAATGACAAAAATCAATGACAAACTTTGAAACTGCCACTTTATAGATTACATGTATCATATCAGTATTGCCTGACAACCTTTGATTTGGTCCACTGCAATATCAATTACTGTTGTTTTCTTCCTTTTACTTCCTAACAATCCCCTTGGCCTTTAATAAAGGAGAGACCTTCTGTACAGATTAGCTTGTGACTCACTGGCTGTTTAAGTCAGTATTTTTCCATTTTCCCCACTTCAATGATCCTTCTTGAAGAAGAATAATGAGTTTAAATGTGCTTATTTTAACTTATTATGACTGATATGAAGAATTTGTTTTCTTAAAAAAAAGTACTATATGGGGAAAATGGACTCCCTTATGGAGGATGTTGAGACGGATTTCGGTCTGCCCCAACTCAAGTTAAACTTATTATATAAGCTGACATATATATAGATATTGACACCAAGTTTCTACATTTTTGGTTCAAAATATTTTAACTATAATTGTGGTTAAGTGATAACAGTGCTAAAGTGGATTATTTTCTAGTTTAGACACGGTTTGTTGTTCAACATCATTGTGATTTTTCAATTACAGAGGTTTACAATGTCTATGTTTTTTATGAATCTAAAAAAACATAGACATGATAAATAAATAAATAAAAAAATATGAAAATACTGACACAAGCTTACTCTGTGTTCCAAAGATTCCATTCAATTGTTTTGTCATACAGGATAAATGAATTTAGATATGAAATAATTTATTACTTTTATTCGTCATCTTCTGCTTATTCCGGTAGAAGGAAGTCAGCTGCAGGGAGCTCTTTAATATCTAGCCTTGTATGACTTCCTTTTTTATATTAAATATATTAATTGCTACAGTTTTAACAAATGTGATTTCTTGGTTTTTATCCTGCAGTGATTCATGCTGAAATGACGAGAATGAAATCTCCCTCTATGTTCGGTGGCGACATACAGCAGCTGACTTTGCATGCAGAAATGCAGACAAGTAACCGACTTCATTTTAAGGTGACTGATCAGCTTATCTAGTTATTCCTTCATTTCTCTTCCTTCCCCTTTCTTTCCTTTAAAAAGGTAAACTGTAAATCAAAAATTGTCAATGGCCATGAGATAAGAAACTGCCTAATTGACCATTTTTTCCCCCATAGATCTTCGATTCCAATAACAAGAGGTTTGAGGTCCCTCATGAGCACATCGCTACAGTAAAGAGCAACCCCACCACCCCTATCAGCGAGACACTTAAGATCACAAACGAACCTTTTGGCCTGACTGTCAGCAGAAACAACAGAGTACTGTGAGTATTGCCATTAGGGTCTTTTGTGATTTGTCTTGAAATTAAACAGGGTAAAGTAAAACTCAATGACATGGAATAAAATTACTGAGTAGATAACAGCATTTCTATATTTTTTAATATAGAACCATATCTGATATAGTCAGTAATCTCTTTTCATCCGTTTTACCATAATCTAAGCAATTCCTGTAGGGGTTATGTTGTCTAAATACCTCTATAAGAATAACATTGAAAGCCAGATTGATCATGTTTAGCACTTTGGTCTAGTTACCGGTATACACATTAATAGTATGGACTTTCTCCAAATAATTCTGCTTGGGCAAAAGGAGATAATCTGCAGAACCTCCAAAGCGTGATTGGGTAAAGCAAAACCTAGTTCCTGCCTACCAAAGTTTGGTTTCAGCCAGTCATGGTAACAAATGAAACCATGAGAAACCACTTCAAATTATTCTTTTACACTCCAGCTATTCCTCTTAAGCAAATTAAATCATGAATTTTGACAAAGTAGAGGTGATAGCAGCAGCCATGCATACGTCCTCCTGCGGCATCATTTTCTGAGTTTATTTGACTGTGGGCTCAACTACTCTTTCTTTCATCACAGGTATATGTCCTACCTTAAACCATTATATTGTAACGTGATTGGCTGACCCCCTTTGGGTTGGACTCAAACCATTTAAGCTGAAGCGGTACAAGATTAATTCTCATGTGTTTGTAAATTCACAAATACTGCAAGAATTCAGCTTATCAGGAAGGTCACTGTGAAGGTGATAAACTTTGAAGGTTATAAACTGAAGATATGAGTGTTAATACCAAGTACTGAAAGGTTACTCCTTCTAATTTTATAATTTCGCCAACTTATAGCATTAAAGTCAGTTCAGAGAACAATGTTAATATTACGATATTGAACTGCCCCTCAGGGATGGTATGCAATCCCATTAGGTTTCAAATTATTACCGCCATAACTGCTCTACATAACAGGTATGTTTAAAAAACAAAACATATACCGTACAAAAGCTGATAAATAATACAGGATTACTTCTTTGCCTTCATTTGCCTTAAAATGAATTAATTTTTGGCTTTTTTGACATAATTTGCCTCTCATTATTTGCATCCATTTAACCTTGAGGACTTAGGTTGTTGTGGTGTCACTCAAGGAAAACAAAAGTTGGATTTTAAATGTAGACCATGTTTATAAAACGGATCACAGTATTTTAATCAAATCCACAATAAATCTATACAGTGGAATATATTGGGTTGATACTGATAAAGAGAAATGAAAAAAGTTGGTATTGCAGGTGTTGTGCTGTGCATTAATACAGGAATTATGAGAGTCTAAGTATCTATCGCTAAAATGCATTTGTTACAGGGTACACAAAATAAATGTTAGGCACAGGCTGTCAAATATATTTACCCACAATATGCCCTGAAATTTATGACTTCAAAGCTAGTGACACATCATGTTAGAGAATAGCTTTCTAAGAACCACCCTCATCCATTGAAACAACTGTGTCATTTGGTTATGTGGTTTTAGGTATGCCAGTGGAGATACAACATATCCTTGAATAAACATGTCTTTTTAAAACACTTTAGGGCCTAGTTTATTTAGGATTTTCTTAATATATATGTTAAGCACGGTATGCAATGCGTTACTAGCAACCAATAAAACAGTAATTATGCAGTTACAGCTATTCTGTTACATATAACAATACTACAATTACAACATAAACTTGAGACCTCACCATCAAGCCATTTCTGTTTCCTACGTTAAATGAAAACATCTATCTAAAAACATTATCCAAAAAGCAATGAAAACACTGAATAATCTGAATTTGGTCATTTACATTTCCAATGAGTTTCATTTCCATTCAATTGGCCATGTACAAAGTTTTATATTGTCAGAAATATCCTGTCCATTGGGGAAGAGTTTTGTAGGACCTTGACCTTGACTTTAGCTGTATTTTTCTAAAGTAAATAGAGACATAAAATAAAATAAAAGTTATTTGAGTTTTTTTCTTTACTCAAAATATATTTTCCGTATTATTGAAAATATAATTTAAAAATCTTTTCATAATCACCATATACTGTAGATATGGTGCAGAACAAAAGGAAAGCTATCCCTGAAAAGATTAACCAAAGAACAGCAACTTCAGCTAAACCCCTTTAGAGGCCGTACAGTTTCCAAATTGTTTATTAAAGTTTTTTCCAAAAAAAGTCTATTTATAGGTTGTACTTCAATTAAAATTCAAACACTCCGTTCCAAATAGCAGATTTGTATATAATAAAGTTAAATAATTTATTTGCTAAAGTCAAACATTGACTTGTAGAAAATAATATCTAGATGTAGGTCAATTTTGAGTCAACTCACTCAGTGAAGTAAGTCTGTTTTGCTGTAGCCCCTAAAAACTAATAGAAAATTAACCTTTTTTAGTTCATAGCTTCCCTCCTTTGAAATTAAGCCAAAGCATAGAAGTCAGGCTTTGAGTGTTTGCTCAGTGTTTTTTTTAACCGCATTTCCTGGTTATTAAAAAAGAAAGCAATGTACATAGTTTTTAGATTAAATAAATCCCATGTGCCTTGGTAAAAACATCTTATCTTAACAACATGCTGCAATTAGATTTGAAAATATTCACTCTAAAATATAGACGGACTATATGATCAAAAGCATATGAATGCTTTAAATTCCTTGGAATTTAGTGATATAGATTTACTAATACGCCTTGTTTCCAGAACATTTTGTAAAGATCGAACTAAATAAATCCTATTTCTAATCACAAGGAATATGTAAAACACAGGTACACAATCATCCAAAAGTCACAGCCCAACCTTTGCTTTAGGATAAACTAACGTCCTGCCTTATCTGTAATTTTCCCACCATATCCTCTTGCTTTGAACTAGGAGACTTGATGTTGCATATGTGATAAGTTGCTGAATTGGAATACTGTTTTAAATTTAACTGATTTTGGAGTCTACTTTATTATCTATTTAAATTGTGTCCATGCAGATGTGTCTTTTTCAAATGTTTAGTTGATGTTAAATATACAAAGTGAATGTACTACATTAGCAGTCAAGCAGAACTTTGGGAACATTTCACCATTTACCTTGCACAAGTTTGACATGATGTCCTGACAACAAAAACGATAAGAGTACACATTATCAAGTTGATAACAATGACTGGTAGTACTGAGTGGCAATCAGGCTTAAATATTTACTTTTAAACTATTAGAAACGGGACTATATGATCAATAAAAGTTGATTGCGGTATCTGATTGCGGCAATAACGACAATTTAAAATCCAAGTACTGATTGTGCACGCAGGCTAGTCGTGATTCTGCTCTGCTGCCTGTGTGGCTGGCATGTGGGTGTTCTATTGTTGTAATGAAATGTTCTTATAAAAAGATATGTCTATTTACAGTTTCAGTATTGCACTGATGTTATGTAACAGATCATAATGGCTGACCACAAAAACTCTGTTTCGACCAACATGGTTATTATGATTACACATTTGCAAGGTCTGTTTATTGCATGCATCACTGTTACTTGCAGATTTTGACAACTATCAATTCATGTCTCATGTTGAAGAAATGCTACCCAGAAGGCCTATTAAAGCTTGATGAGATCAAGTGCTTTTTGGGTTTTTGTTTTGCAATAAGTCCTTCACAATTCTTGTCTAATTCTGCTATCTCCGCTCACAAACGCATACTCTTGTTTTTTTTCTCACATTTTTTTTTCTCACTCTTCTCACCCATCCAGTTTTTCACATTACAATCTCTCACATCTGTGATATTTTCTTCTCTAAACACATTCAGGTTTGACACCACCATGGCTCCACTTGTGTTTGCCGACCAGTACATACAGCTGTCTGCTAAGCTCCCATCTCAATACATCTATGGCCTAGGTGAACATGTACATCAAAGATATCGACATGATATGAACTGGAGAACCTGGCCCATTTTTACCAGGGATGCTTTCCCCAATGGGGTAAGGAGTTTTACACAGACACAACTCTGTTGATGAAAATTTTAAAAGTTAATAATTTCTGTGCAAGTGCAATTAACTGAAGAATATATGCATTAGCACACATATGTGACCTCTACATGTTTTTTTTAAATTGCTTCGCAAATGTTTTTTTAATTGAATGTATCATGATTTAATTAACAATATACTTATCCCTCCTTATTCAGTTGCAGTGAGTCTCCTACATTCCTCCTGCAATTCAAAGTTTTTTTCCCCACATCCTTTCTCCCTGCAGGGAACACACAATCTCTACGGACAGTATCCCTTCTTCCTTTGTCTCGAAGATGATACAGGAAAGTCATTTGGGGTGTTTCTGCTGAACAGCAATGCCATGGGTAAAGATAAACACCAACACATGTACACACAGGATACACACTTGTCTATGTGTTTCACTCTCCTCAGGGATGTTCACAGAGACCATGAAAAAACAGTGTGAAAAAGCAGCTATGTGTTTAAGAGCAGAGTCTGTATGATCTTGCAGTTGCAATGTAGATGATGAGTAAAGCATTCTTTATGTTTTTTTTCTAGTAAGATAATCTAAAAAAATCAGGTTTTAGAAAAATCCAAATTTAATTTGAATACATTTATTAAGTCATACATACATACATACATACATACTGGCACAAAAAATAATTTCTATAAAATAAATTCAACTGCAGCTTTTACAGAAATTGATACCTGAGCTATGTTAGTTGATCGGTCTCTTCCGAAAACCTAATTAGTATTTCCTGATTATTTGTATCCTAGGTTAAATATGATCTAAAATAAAGGCACATTTATCCTAGCCACTCTCCTAAATGGGGAAAAATAATAAAAGATGCAATTAAACAATAAGGCATATTTGCATTAAACTTCAAAAGTCATGAAAAGGACTGTATTTTAATTATTTTTACTCAAACTCCTTCATGTCTACACTCAACCAAAAAGAAAAAGTTTAAAACTGGAACACGAAAAAACAACAAGTAATGGCTGAGGGCATTAGCATATCGGTCAACACAAAACAACAGTAAAATGGTTTTACACATTTATATTTAACAAGAAAAAAGGTCAGTTACAATGACTCACAATGAGCTTTACTTATACCTCACCCCGGTGACGCAAATAGAGGTTCCGCTGCGTCAATCAAAGATCTGTGTGCACAAATCTAACAGAACAATTAAGAGCTGAATTAGACTGAAAAGCATCAAAAAGCTCCACTTTAATGTTGACCCTCATATAAAGTAAAATGTTTATTTTATTGTTTCTTGTAAACCAGTAATAATCTTTTTAAGACATTAGTGGAATTTACAAATTATGTTTCTCATCTGTTTTTTATTCAGAGGTGACTCTGCAGCCTGCCCCAGCAGTGACCTACAGGACAATTGGAGGAATCCTTGACTTCTACTTGGTGTTTGGAGACACACCAGAGCAAGTTGTTTATGAGTTCCTTGAGGTATCATTCATTCATTTTTAATAGATGGGCTTTATTCATATTTAGCTTTACAGCTATAAGATCATGCGAAACCCTGCTCTCTAGCTCATCGGCAAGCCTGTCATTCCTGCCTACTGGTCCCTGGGCTTCCAGCTCTCTCGGTGGAACTACACTAGTCTTGCAGAAGTGAAAAAGACAGTGGAGAGGAATCGGGCTGTGAACATTCCATATGTAAGATCTGCTTTTCTTTCAATTCATACTTCTCTTACTTTAAAATTTTCAGTTTTTCTTCAATATCCTGTTACAGGATTTTTAACATAAAATAATTTCAAAGAGTTATAACTCAGAGTTATAACTCTCTCTCTCTCTATTATATTTGAATATAAAAAGCAATGATTAACATTTTGTACCAAAACTTTCTTATGCAATAATGTGGTTATATGAAATGTTTGCTCTTGCTTAGCATGGTATCTATTTTGTTATCTATATGTCAGCGTTAACAACTGTCATATACGGTTATAAGTTATTTTACAGCTTTTAGAGTTCCAATATGAGTAAATAATAAACTCTCATTAAGTTGGATATGCAAGGTGTAAACCTTAGATAAAGGCACTGCTTAGATTGAGAAAATAACATCCCAATCAATACAAAACCGTTTTCTTTTTTGATTTGACAACACTGAGAAAAAAAATATATTTTAAAACTGAATAATTTACAGCTGAATGAAAAGTTTTGGCAATCTTGGTAACAAAAAAAACAGGCCTTCTTTTTTACTGTTACCACTGTTTCATAGCTTCTTGGAAAGGAAACAGGCGCAACTGATAACTTACCTTGTAAACCTGTTTTTGAATTTGAACTCCTGTGTGCTCCCAGGCAAGACATTCTAACCACTACACTATGTGTGAGGACGTGATATGAAGGTTGGAGCAAGAGTTCGACAGACAGCCTGAGTGATAGGGATGGCCTTTAGCTTAGATTGGGTAATCCAGCTCTCTGTCAAATAATGGAGAGTCTTCTGGCCTGTACAGGTTCAATCCAGGAGCCACAATTTTTCAAGCGTCAACCAATGTTAGCACTGATCAAAGATCAATCGACTGGGTTCCTTTTATTATCTCATTCATCCTCAACTGAATGTTAAAAATACTCCATTATCTTGTTCCGACTAAGCCATATGATAAATACCAGTTCTAGTCGACATTTTCTAGGAAATGAGCCTCACTTCTTATCTTCATGTCCCTTATGATAGTAAGTGATACTGAGAAGATCTTTTTTGTTTATAAATAAAACAGTTATTCTGTGTCATTTTTAAAAAATCCCTTTAAGTCAGACAGCATTTAATTTGACCTTTATTATTTCCCAACATGTCATTTGAAGTGAAGCCTAGCAGACCAGCTCAAAAAAAGTCCTCCTAGTAAAAACATGAATCATATTTAAAGATATAAAGTCTCGATAAGATATTTGCAGAATGCTTATGAAAAATATTCACTGGATCTTTCTTTATGTGTATCAAAATGAGCAGAAAAACAAGAAAAGCTATATAATTTCAGAAATCTACTAGGTTACTGGAAACAAGTAGCCACAAACAGGAAAGAAATCCTGTGTTAAACCTTTTTAGGTAAATAATTCGAAATAAAGCCTAAATTGTGATATTTTTCTAACAAGGGGTCAATATCAATCTATTAGGGATGCACGATATTGGGATTTTGGCCGATATGCCGATATTTTAAAACTCATGTAGCCGATAACCGATATCGATACCGATGTTAAAGCTGGACAAAAATAAGTAGTCATTGAAAATAGCAGTTTTGTTATCCATTTCTGAAAAATAATATACTCAAATATATTTTCATATGCTGATATCAAATTTATTTTTAAAAACGCGGTATCGATCTATTTTACTTTCAAATTTGATCATTCTGTCACAAACTGTCGTGATATTTTGCAAATTCTTGTGAGATTTTGTAAGTAAAATAGATCGATACCGTGTCAATATATCAACATATAAAATATGGCAAAATTTTGTGAATTTTCGGGGGATTTCGTAGCATAACGATGACATATAGCAATATTTCATTAGTAAAAGAGATTGATATGGTGTTTTTAAATGGCAATATATCAGCATATGAAGATATTGTGATATTTTAATGTATCAATATTTTTCCCCTCGTCTTTAGAAGTTTTTAAGTCTGTAAAAAAGAAGTTTTTGAGGAAGAAGAAGAAGTTTTTTTTTTTTTTTTGACTTTAGAAACTCAGAAACTGATCAAATATCGGGTTAAATATCGGTGGGGTGGCCGATGTCCGATATTCAGTTTAAAGGCCGATATAGGCCGATACCAATAGGGGGCCGATTATATCATGCATCCCTCCAATCTATATTACACAGAAATCAAAAAAGGCATTGATAACAGTCTGATACTGCAGAGTCTAATATTGTTTTCTTGACAAACGATGAGTTAATACTCATTGTTTGTCCTAATCTTTATTCTACATTAAGTTATTCCAACATCTTGCGAGTTATGTTAAAAGAGCCCAAATACTATTCAACATAAAAAATTATTTGCTATGTTAACAGCAGCAATATTTATTTCCTCAAAAACATCCTTAGTTGACACATACAGTAGACCTTTAATCTTTTTTCTTCTGCTCTAACATTTTGATGTAAAGGGGAGTGCACAAATCCAAACGTTACACTAGTTCTCAACTTTTATTGTTTTCTGCAGATTTTTCATTGGATTTATTTTATTTATTTATTTTTTTTTGCTGACAGGATATCCAATACACTGACATAGACTACATGGAAGATAAGAAAGATTTCACCTATGACAAAGAGAAATTTAAGGAACTGCCTCAGTTTGCTGACTACCTCCATGAAAAGGGGCAGAGATACATCCTCATCCTGGTAAGAACAATCCACAGCTCACAGTATTTCTGCATAAGACACATTTATAAATTAAACACTAAAATGAGTATCCAAAGATTCATCTGGCAAATATAAAAATGCATGGTTTGTAGTGAACTGTAATTCTTATTTTTTGGCCAGTAAAAAAAAACAAAAAAAAAAAACCTCATGTAAAATAAAAATCATTTAAAATGTATATGCTGAATGTATATGAGTTCAAAAGGTCTGTACTTGTATGTACTACATTAGACAACAATATTAAAAGGTTGTAACAGGTTGTAACCTGCATTTTGTTTGATTTTGCAAGTGATTTATCGCACCCCTGTGAATTAAAATATAGTTTGTAACCTGGAACAAAAACTTGTTTTTTTGATTGAAATCTGAAATTGCAGTATATTTTTGCATTGATGTATTCTTTTTTAAAATGTCCTTCTTTCTTCAGGACCCTGCAATAGCCACCAGCAAAAGGGTAGGGGGTGCTGCATATGAGTCGTATGACCGTGGTACAGCAAAGAACGCATGGGTCTTTGAGTCAGATGGAAAGACTCCTCTTATTGGAGAGGTAAGCTATTTATTGATTTCATTTTCTAAAGATAATGCTTTAAGTCTTCCAGTTTTTTTATCCCTTGCAAGTAAAGTTTTGAAATAGATACATATAAAAATGATTTTGTGCAAATTTACATATTTTATTATTTCAACAAGTCTTTAATATAGCACAAAAAAACTGACAAAATCGTCACAAGCACTGACCATGGATGATCAATTTTCTCACATCAAAAGCTTCTTAAAACACTTTAGATGCCCTGCAAGTCTATTAAATAGGTGACAGAATATTTATTTTTCCTATAAACATGTTTTTAACATGAGACCCAAAACCACCAACAGTTTCTAGAAAACTTACTAAATGTTTTGTAGTTTAACTTTCCTGTTTCTCAGGACATGCACAGCCCAACTATACATGTTTGTAGAATTAATTCAGTGCCTCTACCAAGCTAGCTGTTATTTCTGACCAGATACTCAGGCCATATATTATATAATTTTTTTCACAGAGCACAGATTTGTAAAGTTGTTTCCCACAGAGTGTCGACATATGGAGCAAGATATGTTTTCCCATGCTTTTATATTGTAGCCTTTGATTATACACACAATTAGGCATAATCCAAACCATCATCGCCTTTCCATGCTGTTTTATAAACAGGTCAAACATATGCATTGATTCTGCATTAGTGCCTAATCTTAAAATGTTCTGAGTCACTGCATGACAGATGGGGTGTTCAAACATGTGCAAATGCGTGTATCTGTGAGCTGAAAAAAAATTGCTGCTTGTACCCACTTTTAAATGGAAAGCTATATTAGGCTGTCTGTAGAAGCAGACTGCACCCTTGAATATGACTGATTATAGTTAATTTTCATGTAACTAAAAATGCCCTGGCTTTTGAAAAAAAAAAAAAAAAAAAAAGCCTAGCTCTTTCAAAACAATCTTGCACTAGTTAAAAAGTGGTTCATTCATTGGTGTCCTGGGTGTGCCCCATTCTTCTCCATATCCTGCCCCTAATAACTTGCTGCCCTAACCCCACATCACATCCAACACACTATGCTGACGAAACATTTGAGAGCACATCTAAATCCAACTCATCTGTTGCAGTCATTTCTCCAAGCTCTATGCAGAATAGCAGGACTTTTATTTTTCTAATTTTCTCACTTAAGCTCTGACTCTGTAGAATTTTAAATGATCAATGTGGGCTCATAGTATGCAAAGCTACATGCCACGCATTAGTCACTTTCACTATTCTTCATAATAGTTTTTGCATGAGTGTGTACCCTAACAAACCTTTACTTATGTACAATTTCTTAGAACTGCACCCTAATCATGTCAAGCATGCAAACACTTTAGGTTGCAACAGGTCTGCTACAGCTTAAACTATCATTTCTTTTTGTTTTGTTTGCTGTGATTGGTTCCATGACACAAAAGGAGCATTTTGATAATAAGAACTAGGCAAGGCAAGGCAATGCAATTTTATTGGTATAGCATAATTCAAGGTGCTTTATGTTAATTAGATAATAGAATAGAAGTAAAATAAAAGCAGAAAAAAACCAACAACATTTGTAAGACTACCGTAATAGAACTATGGGACCACAAAAAATACAGAATAAAAGAAAAAAAAGTAAAAAGAAACATTGTAAAAGCAGGTAGAGAAGAAAGTATAACAGTTTGATCACAACCTTAAACTAATAATGCCTCACTTGGCAGTTTTAATTCAATGGTCAAAGGCATCTCTAAACAAATGGGTTTTTAACTTTGACTTAAAAGAACTCAGGCTTTCAGCACTTTTGCAGTCTTCTGTGAGTTTGTTCCAGATAAGTGGAGCATAGAAACTAAATGCTACTTCTCCATGTTTGGTTCCAGTTCTGGGTGTACAGAGTAGACTGGAGTAGAACTAGGAGACCTGAGGGGTCTGGGAGGTTGGTGCACTGACAACACGTCTGTTATGTATTGAGGTGCTGATCCAGTCAGTGATTTATAGACTAGCTGAAGGATTTAAAAGTCTATTCTCTCAGCTACAGGGAGTCAGTGGAAGGATTTCAAAACCGGTCTAATGTGCTCTATTTTCTTAGTTCTAGTAACTACACGGGCACCAGCGTTTTGGATAAGCTTCAGCTGTCTGATTGACTAGAAACTTGTCTTTTTCACAAAACATATTTTTAGAGAAATGGCATATAACTTGATCTTTTTTAGTGAGCATTCATTCATAATACTGTACAGTAGCAACTTAGATCAGGAGAAAGACTTTTCTCCCATTATGAAAATACATGTCATGCTTTTAAACAAATAACTTCAAAAGATTATTGGGACCCAGCAAATATTTACATTACTATAAAGTTCATCCATCCATTTTTTGACATGTTTAATCCCAAGTGGGGTTGTGAGGGGTACTGGTGCCTATATCCAACTGTCTACGGCCGAGAGTCGGGGTACACCCTGGACAGGTTGCCAGTCCATCGCAGGGCAACACAGAGACAAACAACCATTCACGCACACACTCATAAAGTTTATAGATGGTTGTAAATCTGAAAGAAAAAAAAAAATTATAATAAGAATTTAAGGAGATTTAAAGAGGTTTGGACCAACTTTCCTTTGAAGTTGTGAGAAAAATAAATTGTGATCATTGTAGGCACGAACTTGTCACAACTTCACAGCAGTTACATTTAGCAGTTACACTTGAATATTCATAACTTAAGAATGTTGAGTCTGTGCGTACTTTTAAAAAAGTAGATATTTAGAAAAAAAGTTTGACATTACTTTCAATATTTAAATGTTCAGCCAGTGAGGAGCATAAACATTCTTGTTTTCACTGGGTGCTCCTTGTTGGGTGTTTAAAGTAAGCAGTTTACCAATTTCTGTTTCTCCTGCCCCCTAATCTAACATAATTTTTGTTTTCTTGACTTACTTTTAAAGAAAGAAAATTATATTTTTTTCATTATAACTAAAATGAATAGTTATAATTTTTTTACATTAATTTTGATTTAAAATAGTTAATTGCTTGAAAGAAAGGGGATTTATTGTCACGTTTCCGTGTGTGGTCAAATATCTAAGTTGTGCCAACACATGTTTCATAAGTGAGGGAGGGAAAATTAGTTGGATGAAACAAAGCATCTGATAGTGTATAGAAAGTGTAGGTAGCATGAAAGAAAAAAACAGAAAAGATAAGACTGTAAATGGATCAGAGGGGGCTTTTAGATAATCGACCACAATGTATACAGAGACAGACTGTCTGTCTAACTCAGCAGCTGACAAGACAATTACACAGGTACCCATGAGACAGAAGAGAAAAAAAAAATCAGGTACCTGGAACAAGACTAGATGGAAGCAATGATATCACCTTTGGAGAGAGGGCAGGGGCAGCCAAAAGAAGGGAGACAAAACCAAAACAAAAAAACAAACAAAAAAAAGGCAGCAAGAGGTAAGCAGTGACAAGTACCACCCGATTTGTTTAAAGTATTTCCCCTGAAGAAACCATTAGCTGGGATCTGTAGATGACAAAATCCTGGAGCAAGGGAACAAATTATTCATAGAAGAAAGATGGCATCTGCAACGGTCTATCAATAAGCTCTGACCTTGGAGTCCTTAACGTGTGCCGAAAGCATCCACCTATAAATATGTGTTCATGCACGGGAGCGTATATACGCATATTTCATATTGTTGCTACAATCAGGGCTAGGAAATTTTTGCAAGCAGAAGTAAAAGATCGCCAGAGTGCGGCAACCTTGAGATTTTATATCAACAGCAGTGTTTACACACAAAACTTGCATACATACTGGCACATACACACATAGAAAATATCTCCCTCTCCCTGTGTAGATTAATCATTTTTCTCAATACATGTCATTAAGGATGACTTCTAACACACAGTCACGTCGCCAGATTTCTATTGCATTATCGATTTCTTCTCTTCTCTGTTCTCTTCCTCAACTCGTCTGGCTCTTTATCCGCTTTCCCCTTTGCCACCGTTCCCTCATCAATCCACCCCTTCTCTTAGTTCATCTATATTTTCCTCTTTTTCTCATTCCCGCATCTTGGAGCTATTTCTCCAGCATTCCCACAGGCGACAGTCTTTTATTTTTATTTTAATAAAATAGACGGCCAGGCCGCTGTGTTAGCAAAAGAGTCCACCTCTGTATACAATATTAGCATATCATTTACTGTTAGCAGTGTGGAAAGACACTTATACATTCAAGATACATTCAAATAACAGAGTTCTATAAATATTTTTGTCTTTAGATTGGAGAGAAAACCTTAATTACAATCTGCAAGGCAAACACATGACACATTTTCCCAAGGTTTTAACCAGTGCAACTTTAAACTGTATTGCTTAAAAACAAGTCATTTTGATGCTTTGTCTCATTTGTAGGTGTGGCCAGGTGAGACAGTATTCCCAGACTACACCAGCCAAAGCTGCATCGACTGGTGGATAGATGAGTATGAGCGATTCTCCAGGGAGATCAAACATGACGCCCTCTGGATTGTAAGTAGACATTTAGGAGCATAAAATGATCACAGTATTTAGTGTCCCAATAGCGCTTGAATTTGTGATACATTTTGTGGCAACTGCTTTCCTTTGGGTTGAGTGCCACAGCGCCTAGCAATGATTGAGACAAAACAGGGCAGAAATCTGTATGGTTAAGGATTTCTCACTGAAATATGGGGTTTTGGACTCTCAATACTTAAGCAAAACACATGGATACCAAGTCTAAGGGATGTGTTTATCTAAAGTTTCTCTGGAGTCCATGATTAATCTAGGTCTTGAAAAAAAAAAAGAAAAAAAGTAGTTTAAAAAAACATTTTAAGGATGTAAACACTTCGGTAGATGAACCCGGATACCCAAAAGGCAAGATAAAATGTTGTTTTTATTATACAACACAATGTAATGCATTTGTTCTAGCTGTCATTTATGTTTGTTTCTAATCTTTATGCTTCCAGGACATGAATGAAGTGGCCAACTTTAAGCAAGGATCAGCTAAAGGCTGTCTTGATAACAACCTTAACTATCCTCCTTATACTCCACGTAAGACTTTTTCTAATCAGATCTTGCTGGACCTTTTAACCTTTTTTATGCAGTATTCACAAACACACACACCCAGCCCACACACATCACAAAAGTTGAGCAGAAATCAGTTTATTGTATCTAAAAAATTTCCTACATAATTTTTCCACCTTCTTAAAGTCTTTATCTTTTCTTTTCCCACAGAAATTCTGGACGGGGTGATGTACAGTAAGACTCTTTGCATGGATGCCAAGCAGGCCTGGGGGACCCACTATGATGTCCACAGTTTGTACGGCTACTCTATGGTGCTGGCAACTGAACAGTGAGTGCATCAATAATCAGTGACAGGAGTAGTATGGATAGCAAGATGATTGAAAGTAAACCTGCCATCTTCCTCCCTAGAGCAATAAAGCAGTGTCAAAAAAAAATAAAAATACATTTTTAATTTAAATAACTAAAAAACTACAAGAAAACAAAAATGAAAAACAAGCTTAAACAGACACTTTTGTGCAGTGGATTTGGAAAAAAACAAAAACTGGCATGTTAAAGTTTTGTTAATTCATTGCACTGCAGTGACTTTTGCTCTGCTCCACATCATGAAAATGACTCCTATGGAAATTTGTAAGTCGAATACCATTTGCAGAAATATGTTTTAATGAGCCCCTCTCCCTGGGTGCTTGAATTTCTTATGAGTTTTGGCACCAGAACTGTGTAATGGCCCATTATGTTTGCAAACCAAGAAAGGGGAACCACAGTGAGTAGAGGTAATAATCACTGGAGAACGGAAATTCATGTGGATCATGGATACCTGCCAAAAGAAATCACAGATGCTTTCTTTATTACATATTGCTCTTTTATGCTTAAAAAAATCATGTCAACGCACCCTTTATTCTATAGGCATTTGGCAGGCCAATTTTGACCTTTTTTGAAAATTTTAAAAATAGATGAGCTACACATTAAAGTAACATTTAGTGTGATGGATTCTTTTTGAATACTTGGCTGATGTTATTCAGCTCTTTTTTAGTTTTAAAACAGATTGTTCAATAAATATAGAGAAAGAAACCAACCTACATTTAAATAACTCATATTATGTCAGGGCAAGAAATTCTGCAACCTAAACAAATGTTGCATCATTTGCTTTATTTTGAGCAATTATTGGTGATTGAAAAAGACAAAATAAGCAATACTTTTTTTGTCAGAGTTAGAGAAACGGGAAACAATTCCAGATTAGAACCGAAGATTTAAAGGTAATGTGGAGGATTTTTGAGATTTTTTTAAAAGACCTGCCTTCTCCACCTAAACAAAAATGCACGTGTGAGACCATGCATGAGCCCATTTCTCCATGTGCATGCTCTGTTTAAAAATTGCTGTTCTCAAAGATCATACAAGCTTACTTTCCCCGAACGTCCCCCCTAACCCCTAAATCCCTTAATCACTATATAGAGCGGGGAATATATAGTGGATTTTATCGTGAACTCAGTTAACTGACCGTTCAGACAGATGATCACTGCTTTTTGCTCCATTGGTCAGTTAACTCTTTCTACACTTCATGGTGCATGTGCCCTTTTTGTTATTAGTAGCCTTTGTAATAGACGGCCAGGCCGCTGTGACAGCAAATCCCATAACGCTTTGCAAGGGGAGCTCTCCACCAAAAGCATTCCAGGATATATCTGCCTCTTCTGAGGCCTTTCTTTTCTACTCATAAACTTCATTGACACTTCCATTACGACCCTTGGCCATTTTTTAAAGAAATGCGGTGAGAAAGGTGAGCTTCAATGACTGTCTGAAACGGTAGCTCACCACCGATATGCATCTGAAAGTGCGCATGCGCAGAAAAAGATAGCTAATGGTAGAAGCCGGTAGGACGCACTTGCATAAACATATTAAGAGAATGATTGATAATTAGGAACCAGTATAAATTCGCATGACAAGGTCTGCATCTATTTCACTGAAAGTTTTATTTTTCCCACACACTTTGAATGCATCATACACCCCTCCTCCAAACAGGATTATTTTCTGCACCCACACTACAACAACAGGCAAACTAAATATGGCGACAGCAGGTGTTTCAACTGAGTAATAAACAGTATGGCAGTGGTTTGAATTTTTTACTCCGAGGATGTCGGACAAAAGGCAGTAATTTGTAATACATGTCGCAAAAACATTGCTGGAAAAGGTAGTGGCAATACCACTAAAAGTCCTCAGCTGCATAAATAAAATAAAATAACATTTTAAGAAGTGCAATAAAAAGCTTAGATTACTGAAAATATATAAAGAAAAATCATAAAAGCAAATTAGTAGTCCTACATGGCCTATGGATCTATGGTAAAACTAGGAAGTCATGTTATTACCAGCCGATTTGATCAGGATACTCATTTATAATAAAATGCTGTAGAAATGTGCTTGGTTAAAAAAAAAATAAATCAAAACTGTAAGACTATATGTGCTTACTTCTACAGTCATGCAACTCAAACACAAACCAACCTGAGAGTCGGAAAAATAAATAAAAATAACTCATGACAATATGCTGAATCATTACTTCTGTTCATCATTCATGTGTCTATTTTGCTTTTTTTCCCCCCGTTTTTCTCGCTCCCTCCTCTAATTACAATGTAGTATTGGCAAAAGACAAGATTTGTAAACATCAGCAAGACTTTGAATTGTCATGGAAATCAATGCAGCTTCGATTTCTCCAAAGTTAAACAATAGCATACAGACAGGAAAGGGAAGAAAAGCCCAACATGTCTATGGTTCGGTGTGTTTTACTCTGCAAGCATTAATGTCAGGGTGCATATGCTTGCAATGTTTTTTTTTTTTTTACTCTTTGTAATTTTTTGTTTATGGTTCCACCGTTCTTTGCATTGTTACGATACCTCACCACATACCTCACATGATTCTTTCCTCCATTTACAGAGCCCTGCGGCGTGTGTTTGGGTCAAACCGTACCCTGATGCTGACACGCTCCTCCTTCCCAGGTGTAGGGAAATATTCAGGACATTGGCTGGGTGACAATGGTGCCAACTGGAATGATATAAAATGGGCAATTCCTGGCATGCTGGAGTTTGGGCTTTTTGGAATTCCCTATGTGAGTAGAACATGGCCAGTTCGTACCTGTACATAGACAAACATGTGAACTAAAAAATTCACCAAAAAAAAAATAAAGCAGTTGCCATGACTATTGATATGGATATAAGTTGATATTCTTAGTTTTTTCCAACTCAAAGAGTTAGCACATATAAAAAAGTTAAAATTGTCACTACGTGCCTGAGTGTTAACTGTTTATTGTGCATGTAAAGAATTTAAAAGAAGCTGTAATGGTTAAAGTCAAGGTTAGAATGCATCTCTAAAGTTCACCGCTATCTAGCAATGAGATTTTTTATGACTATCTTTCTTTGAAAAAAAAAAGTTACAAGGTTGGATTTACGATAATTGAGTTTTTTGGACATTTTCCATCTGAGAGAAGATAAAATAAAGAAAATGTTTTGATGATCATTTTCTACACCGCACAATTTACACAATATTATTTACAGAATATGTTTTATACAATTTGCTTTACATAGCACAAAGCCTTTACACACCCACTGTGTAAACAAATAAATATTTGATGTTTGTTATACATTGTAATAAAAAAAAGCATTGATTCAAAAGATGCATTATTGAATCTAACATTTTCCTAAAGGCATATTTAAAAGCTGTTTGTCGAATATAAAATGTCAGGTTTTGTTCCTTTATGTATGTACAATTGTTTTTCCCTGGATGAACTTTAAGAAATAGATTTTTTTTAAGTTTATATCTTAATTTATTTGTTTTTCTTAATTACATACAAGATCCCGAATTCATTTTCTAGGAATGTTAGAATTGTGCCAAAGAGCAAGAAAAAAATATTTTTAATACTTTGATGTCATGGCCATGTTATATCCTACAGAAACATGCAGAAAAATGTTGGATGGACAAGCAGTCAGTTTTCCCCTTCAGAGGGGAGACTCAATCACAAAGTTAATTGATAGCTGGCCTTTTGGAGAGCTGTAGCCCAGCATATTATTGGGGAGTTCAGTGAAAGAAAAAACGTGGCGAAAAAAGGCCTCAAAAGCAGATATAATGGCAGCTAGCTTTTGATTTGTAAATCAAAAGCACAGTGAATAATTTGAAGGAATTTCAGAAGGCATGGACTGTATTTGGAGTCAGATTCCCAAGAACCCCCAACACAAGCTTACAATTCTCACATTCCTTACTTTTTGCCTCTCCTGAATTAGGAAAAACTATTTGGGCCGAGGAGAAGAATGATACTAGGCTTCATCAGCCGAGCCACAGGCTAATGGCACCCATGTCCACATGATAATTCATAAAAATAGAGCTATTAAGATGTTTAATTGATAAAATAAACAGAAATATTGCTTTGATTGTAATTAATCTATAGGATACGAGGTAACCTGTCAAGATGAGTAACTTAAATTAAATCATGATTCAATGATATTCCTATTTGTGCTCTCATAAATATTTTTCTTAATTTTCAAGTAATAGTTAATCTCAGATGAAGCTTCTTAATACTGTATGTTGGTTTTGACTGATGTTAATATAGGCAAAAGCATCCAGGCTTATGTCATGTAGAACTTTTGTAAGACTAGCATCACACACTTTATAAAATAGTATCTTATTGAAAAAAAATGAAAAACAGCAGAAGCAGAAATGCACTGCCGCAAACTACCCAAGTGTTTGTTTCCCCATAGTACAAAGTGCAAAAAGCAGCGAGAAAACAAGAAGCAAACTACACACACATACTCTTGCAGCAGTGCACATCAGGTGGTCTTACAGATACCAAATACTCCTTGTAGGACTCTGTCAAGGGGATTGTATGGGCCTCAGCTAATACATAAACACACGTATACCTTACAAAGAAAGAAGATGGAAAGAAAATGTACGATTTTGACACCTTCCTTCTCATTAACTCAGTAAAATATGGGAAGTTGTAGATAATAGAAAAAGGGAGTACGTGGAAGCTGACTAAAGGGCTGGAAGATACACTTTGCAAGTGGCTTACTTACATCCATTACATCCCATTTGAATTAAGTTTTTTTCAAATACATAATCTTGTGAACAGGTATCAGATTGGTGCCTATTTTTTACGCTCCTGGGGATCTATTTCTATCAGTTTGAGGCATTTTCCTTTGACACCTTTGGTTTTTAGACTTATGTTTATAACATTTAGAGTTTACATTTTAATAAATCAAACTTGAAATCCACAGCATGAATCCACAGAGTTTATCACTCTGAGTTTGACAAATGACCTTCCAGCTCTCTGCTTTCAGTAAAACAATATTATGGAGATACGTAGACACACCGTAGGCTCTGGTGAAATGTCAACCTGACATTTTTCCTGTGCTTTTCAGATCGGAGCTGACATCTGTGGATTCTTTGACGACTCAAGTGAAGAGTTGTGTCGTCGTTGGATGCAGGTTGGAGCTTTCTATCCCTTTAGTCGAAACCACAATGCTGAGGGATACAAGGTACAGTAAAGCCATTTTGTACTGCTGTTCTTTTATGTGAATGTCACTTTTAGATTTATGTACCACGCTGCCTGTTAGGTCTAAATAGCTGCAGGGTGTGCTCTTCATTCTACAACAGTACATTCTATAACAGTACATTGGTGCTATAAAGTCCAAGCGGTTAAAAATAATAAACTATTTTCTTTGTCCACAGCTGTTGGCATATACCAAAACTAGTACAATTGCTATATGAAGAGCGGAATCTCTGATTTTTCAATTTACAGCTTAAAATTTCAGTTGTTAAACATCATAGCCTCTCAGGGGGGAAAGTAAGAAAAAAAGGTAGATTCACACAGCAGTATTTGTGGATTTTATGCTTAAGGAAAATGTAACAGCTCTGCTGAAGTATGTCAGATTAGCATAATATGATGTGCCATATGGTGGACGTAATACCAGCATGTTGCAAAATATAAGACAGTTTCAGCATGGAAGGCCCCCCACTGACAACAGATGGACTTGGGAAGAATTACTTTTTCTACCTGTACACCCTCACCTCCAGCTGTGAGCCTAGCTGGATTTCCTGGTCAGAAATGAATCATCGCCATAAACCAACAGTTTTGCATGTGAGATTAGAGCCAGCCACCATTCAACAGGGTTTATATTAATGTATATTTTAATGTACAACAAAAATACAAAGACAATTATTTTTCTGTATGATCATCAGGACATGCTCTGCACACATTATTTTTATATCAAGGTTTTGAAACAAAACATGTTGTAAAATAAAAATATGTTTTCTTAAATATTTTGGATTTAGATTTCACTCAAAACTTTTTGGGATGCACTTAAAAAGGCACCCGCAGCAGTCGTTGCTTAAAAAAAAAGGACAATAAAATACTGAATTTAGCCTAGTTACACAAGCCAAGAGTGGGGCTAAATGACTAACCATTCGGGAACAAAAGGAGCCAACATTTATTGCTAATCTTATCCAAACGATCTGGCTCACTGATGGGGTGAGGAATTCCAATTACTAATTTGTAAGAGAAGTGATATATTGGTGTTATATTCCGGATGCTTTTATTGTGTTTCTAAATAAAAGATAAATAAATGAATAGATTGATAAATAAATACCACCAATGATGATTTGGCAAACCTGGCCAGAAATATGTAATTTAAAAGGCTGGGTTACAATACGTATTTGCTGTTACATAAAATTAATTTAGATTTAGTAGTGATTAAGGCTCAAGAGGTGGGGTTTTGTTAGGGTGGGTTGCCAGTTGAAGCTGTCTATCTCCATGATTGTGTTAATGGGCAAGACACTATGTCTACCTGATCTGCTGTTGATGATCAGAGGGATTTGCTTCTGTCAGTCTGCCCCAAGGCAGATGTGTAGGTTACAACCACCAGCTTGTGAATGACTAAATATAGAGTGAAGCCCTTTGGAGTTTATCAAGTCCGAGGACCCCAGAGCGCTCAGCAAGTATGGGGCATTTAACATTTTCTTATGTGTAAACAGCAGTAAAATCCTTCTTTAGATTCTGACCACCTTACCCACCTTACTATCTACTAACCAAATGGTAAATAGGAAGAAAAATATTTTTTTAGACTCGAAATTTTTAATTCATTCATTTCTTGGCAGATTCAGTTATAAAATAATTTTCTTTGGGGTATGTCTGGCTAGAATAAGGCTTTAGTTACAGTACAAGCCAAATGAGCTGCATTGTGTATTCACCAGATTTATGAAATAAGGAAATTGATCTAGAGATGAATCAGCTTATTATATATAAATCTATTGTTGTGTTTTTGTATTTCTCATTTAACAAGCTTAACTTAAAGATAGCGTGCCAAATCAGTGACTTTCTGTTGCTAAGAGACCTGGGACAAGTGCCTCTGAGCCTGTGTCTATGTTTAGATTGAAACTGAGCTATTTCTGCAGTTGACACTTATAACTTGTGAGAAAAGCTAGTCTCAGACACTAAACGTTGTGAAAACTGATGCTCTAACTAGACTCTTTAATGCTCCTTCAATGCTCATTACTGCTGCAAAAAATAGCAGTTTCAAACTAAGGTTGCAGATGTGTG